AAAACGATTATTGTAACAATATTATAAACAGATATCGTCATAATGACTAATTCTCATAAATTCTGGGACAACTGAAAAATTTTCTGATGACCGAATCGATAAGTTACCAAGTTGGAATCAATAAGTAGCTGACTTCGGCCGAACTTAGAAACTTATTGATTCGTAGGGTTGTAATTTTGTGTAATTTTACGTAATTTTCCGAAACCAAAATTTCATATAATTTTGATATCATGTGAATAGTATACCAAAATTTCATTATACCTAGTGAACATTTGCACATAAAATTATAGTTCCGAACGTAGTGATAAATCTGGCAAAACTTTCATAATGTTGGTACAATAATCATGTGCCAATCCATTATCAAATGTAATATTACTTTACAATTTTGTAAGTTACAGTGTAATTTATTTGTAACGTAAATGTAATTTATGTAATTTTCAGTTGTCCAGAATTTGCGATTACGTAACTGATTTTGATGGTCATGCTAGGTTCGTGAACTTCGATGGCGATATGAGATGCGGCGACAAAATTTCCGAGTGACGTGTGTAAACTGCTTTTTTCCCGTTAATTTAACCGGAACTTAGATGCGAATTTATAAACCGTAGCTGGTCACTTACCCGTACTTATTCTGACTCGGTAACTTATCGATCCGGTATCAGAAAATTTTTCTGCTGTCCCAGAATTTGAGATCAGTTGTAAGAAACGGAAAATTTCTGACTGTTGAAAAGTCGGGCCGAAAATTGACATCATTAAACGGAATTCTCAGTGTTGGATGGTAAAGCACAGAATTGTGTTCGGGGTTACATGATCACGCGCAGTGTTGTGCAACGGTTTGTTCATTGGTAATTGTCGCATCCTTTTATTGTCTTATCTACAAAAACAACAATGAACAAACCGTTGCACAACAGTGGCTACGTGTAACAAACGCATGAATTTTTAAAATTGTTTTTTTGATAAGATAATATAAATAATAAAGAAGTGAATCAAAAACTTAACCGTTGATGCATCAAAAACTAGCATCCTCAGCTACGCAATGTAATTTATGTAACACGACCCAAATATAACAAAAATTATGCATTTATTTCAAGCTTATATGAAAAAAAAATTTGATTGCTCCCGGCGAGGATCGAACTCGCGACCTTCGCGTTGCTCAAGTATAGGGTACAACCTATAAGCACGACGCATTGCCACTTTGCTACGGGAGCTGTATTTGCTATTTATAAAAAAATTTTTATTAAATTAATTATTGAATATTTATCTTGTGACCTTTACGAATACACCTTTCACATGATCACAAATTCGGTATTTTGTGTACGTACGTACGTACATGGTATCTCCAAAAAATGTCTTTCCGCATGCCATTTACACAACCGATCATCACGCTCATATATAACCCATCCTGTAGCAAGTCAAATGTAGCTCTTTCGATCCTTTATGAAGCTTTAAAAAAACAACCAGGTATATTCAAACTTGATGTTCTCGATTATCAAAAACAGCCACCAACAAAAGATCAATTAAGAAATATTGTTCAATATCTTGGTATTGAACATGACTTAAATAAAATT